TCCTCCTCCTCCTCCTCCTCCTCCTCCTCCTCCTCCTCCTTCGCCCTCTCCGTCTCCTCCGCGCGGAAGAAATCGAACAACATGTCGCGCAAATGACGAACTGTGGCCCTCCAGGCCTTTTCGAGTGTCCAATGAGGGCCCTTTTGGGGCCGTCCTGGGGTCCTCTTGGGCGCCCTGGGAACCCCGAAAACATGTTCCCGGAGAGGCTTTTGGGAACATGATTTCGAACGAGGCCTTCTTAGGCCTCCCTGAGGCCGTCTTGGAGGCCTCCTGGGCCGGCTTCGGAGCCTCTTGGGCCGTCTTGGGGGTTCCGTGAGCCCCACGGGACGACCAGCCCTTCGGGCAAAGGTGGCCTAACGAGCTCCGTCGCAAATCGGGGACTTCCCCCTCTGATCGATGGCCCCACGAGGCCCTCCAGGGTTCCCAGGGGACCCCCAAGAGGGCCCCAAGAGGGCCCCAAGAGGGCGCCAAGACCCCCCAAAACAGCCCAAAGAGGACCCCGAGATCCCCACAAGAAGAGCCCAAAGAGGGTTCCGGGCGTCTCGCCTGAGACGTCCTGACCATCAATGGTCCTGGAACCTGACATGTTGCAGTAGTTCCACGGATAGAAGGCAGGACGTGGGATTTCCCGCCGCGCACATTCGTTCGACAAAAGCAAGACCTGCACTGATTTAGCGCGGGCGGCTTTCAACATGTAGCTCTCGCTTTGCCGCCGCGCAGATTCGCTTCTCGTTCGCGGGAGCTTCACGGATGCAACGCGGGTCGTTTTCAAGATGCGGTTCTCACCTTAGCGCCGCGCACATTCGTTTTTTATGACTGTAAAAGTTTCACTTATTGAAGGTGGGTGGTTTTCATCATGTGGTTCTCGCCTGAGCGCGGCGAACATTCGTGTAAACAAATACAGAATTTCACCGGTTGAGAGAGGGTAGTTCCAAAATGTACTTTTCGCCTTAGCGCCGCGCACATTCGTTGTGGAGATTCGCAAGAGCTTCACGGATTGAGGGCGGCCCCTTTTCAAAATGCGGTTTTCGCTTCAGCGCCGCGCACATCTGCCAAGCATTTGCAAGAAGTTCACCACCGATAACGTACCAGAAACTGCGTTTTAGAGCGATTCGGGATTGTCAGGGCGAAAAGGCACGTTAATTCGCGATGGTGCCGAAGTCCCAGGAATGGAGCTATAGCACGATTCAGGATCGCCAAAACGCAAAGGTCAAGTTGATTCGTGGCGTCGACGTCCCGAGAACGGTGTTTTGGCACACGTCAGGATCTGTAAACGATTGTCCCCCGACGGCCCATTTCCCTGAGTGGAAATGATTCTTTGCAGCGGCCCATGAAGAGGGAGTTTCGAGGAACGGGTGATTCCAACATCATTGATGACTCTTGGATGTATGCTGATCCTCGTCCTCCTCCTCGTTCTTGCCCTTTTCCTTTTCCTTCTCCTCCTCTTCCTCGTCGTCGTCGTCGTATTCCTCCTCCTCTTCCTCCTCCTACTCCACCTTCCCTCGCCCCTATGCGGGCCCCAGAAATGGCCTGAAAAGACCCTCCAGGCAACCCCTTTGCTCCGAAAGATCTATCTGTTCACCCTGATTGCCCGCTTTGTTTTACATGAATCGCTTCGTCGCTTTTCCCGTCAACTCTCATGGGCAGGGCTTCGCAATGGGCTGGTGGGGGTACTTTTTTTGATCTGCGGCTCCAAGGGCGATTCCAGAGAGCGGGTAATATCAAGCATGGGGTGACACGCCAGATAATTACCAACGGGCCAAAAGCCAGCGCCGAAGTGCAAGCAAGAGCATGAGTAAACACGCCAGATAATTAAGAGAGGCACATGGCCGGAGCGGGACAACGGCAGCGGAAGGTCGCACAGTGGCGCCAGCTCCCGAGGCGCAGGCCAGCGAAAGACGGGGGGAAACCCGGAGGGGGAAGCAGCGGCGGAGGGCGCGGCGACGGCGAAGCGAGCCGGGAAGGACCAAGCGAGATACTTACCCGCGGGCCAAAAGCCAGCGCGGGGATGCACGGACGGGCGAGATAATTACCAACGGGCCAAGAGCCAACGCCGGAAGCATGCGGAAACCAGGAACCCTCAATCATGGAGCAGCTGAGGCTCATGGACCGTTGCTCGTCACCAGGATGTAAGGCACCGTAGCACGGCCACAGAGAGGAGCGTGTGCCTACCCGCCAACAGCACCACATGTAGGTGAGCCCATGCGGGCGGACCGTGTCCGAAACCGATGCCCGCGAAGAAGCCGTCGTCAGCGCCTGCCAATGGGGGGTGCCACAGCAGAGACGTGCAGGGTGGAACGATGGGGCGGGCCTTAGGCCGACGTACCCATGCGCTCGGACGCCCGGGCGGGCGAGGCGGGCCCAAGCTCGAGAACCAGGCCAAATCCCAACGCGCGCGTGGATTATTTCAGCCAGCGTCACACGGGCTAAGTCACGGTGCGCCGTGAAAGAAAAGTCGCAACCACGTCGTAGCGGTGCCCCACATCCATGCAACGTGGGCCACGACCTGTCGCTGAGATGAACCAACCACGCCGAAAGCCCTGCTGTGGTTGTGGAACGAAGGGGCGGGCCTTAGGCCGACGTACCCAGCCGCTCAAACGCCCAGGCGGGCGAGGCGGGCCCGTGCTCGCGTGGGCTAGGCCAAGTCACACCGTGAGCGAGGATTATTTCAGCCGACGTCACACGGTCTAAGCCACGGTGTACCGTGGAAAACAAATCGCAACATCCTGTTGGTGTCCCGCTTCCAGAGGAGGAGTGCAGGGAGTGCCACGACATGTCACTGAGGTGAAACAACCACGACGGGCGCCCAGATTTGGATGCCGATGGGAAGAAGGGGGGGCGCAGCCGATAGCCGCAGGTCAGGTGAATATGTGGGAACTGTCGAGGGTCCAACGCACAGCACCAGTCAGGTACGAACGCGGCGTGGTCGGGAACGTCACAGGGTCGCTGCTGTGAGAAGGTCGATGCTGTCAGAAGCGCTGGTAAAAGGAGCGAGAGGGGGGGGTGCCTTGTCCTGTAGCCCCAGCCGCCCCAAGTGGGTGCGCGGCGGGCACCTCGGGCCCATGTCAGAGAAGAGCCCAAGTGAACCGTGTGACGGCCATATGGCGGCCGTAGCCACACGGGCTAGAGACCACGCTGAACCGTGGGAGTCTAGATGCAGTGGGAGCGGTGCACCTCGTTCCCAAGAGTTGGCACGAATGTATTAAGGCCGGGGCCTGCCACTGCGGTGAAACCAGCCCCTGCTGTATAGGGGCTATCCGCGGAGGGGCCTGCGGGGACAGTCCCTGCAGCGTCTGTATCCTCGTGACCTCTGCTCCTGTGGGCGGCCGAGGGGCGGTCGAGAACCATCGGACTGCCGACCCACTGGGCCCCACAAGGCGCGTCGGGGGACCAAATGGCCCGCAGTGTCAGCGCAATGGAGACAACCTTGTATTTGTTTGTCCTTCCCCGGCCCCCATTACAAGTCGTCGTCAGAAGGGACCGCCTGGTCCACACCGCTGATGCTGCCACTGTGGCCCCCTCCTCCTTCCCTCCTGCTGCCACTGCCGTCGTCGCCACTGCCTGCTGCCACTGCCAACGCCTGCTCTTCTCGCACGCGCTGCTCGCAGTGACGTAGGTGGTGTTGTTGGGCTCCACCTTCGCGACCCGGATCTCGTTCAGCAGGACCACAGCCTGCTGCCACTGCCAACGCCTGCTCTTCTCGCACGCGCTGTTCGCAGTGAGGTAGGTGGTGACCATTTCTGGCTCCAGCTTCACAACCCACATCTCTCTGTGCAGCGGTAGGGCCGGCTGCCCCGTGTTGTGGCTCATGATGTCGGGCTCCAGCTTCGCCACCCGCCTCTCGCTGAGCAGCGATAGGGCCCGCTGCCACTGCTCGCCCTTCTCGCACGCTCTGGCCGGAGTGCCAGAGCTCTTGACGGTGGGCTCCAGCTTCTACACCCCCATTTCGCTGAGCAGCGATGGGGCCCGCTGCCGCTGCCAGCACTTCTCGCACGCGCTGTTCTGGTCGCTGTAGATCGTGATGGTGGGCTCCAGCTTCATCCCCAACCTCTCGCTGAGGTGAGCCAGCGCTGGCTGCCACTGCCCCTTCTCGCGGGCGCTGATCACAGTGTTGTAGGGGCTGATGTTGGGCTCCAGCTTCACGACTGCGGGCTCCAGCTTCACTCCCAACATCTCGCTGCGCCGAGCCAGAGCTGGCTGCCACTGCCCCTTCTCGCAGGCGCTGGTCACAGTGGTGTAGCGGCTGATGACGTCGGGCTCCAGATTCACCATCCACATCTCTCTGTGCAGCGACCGGGCCGGCTGCCCCATGTTGTTGGTGGGGATACGCGAAGCGTGAAGAATACCAGGCAGTACCAGGCAATGCCTAGCAACGCTAAGCAAGGCGCTCATGCGACAGGAAGCTGTCCCCTAATTGGGGTCGCGCTAAGTGCATGTTTTCTTCGCCTGGAGCGACTTTCCTGCTCCTGAGCTAGGCTTCGGTGGCGCGTGTCCTCCTACAGGCGGAGTTAGATTCAAATCTTGTCAAAACAAGTACTCAAACATCGTCCCATATTATTGTTTGACTATTTTTTGATATTCCCCCTGTAGAATGACAGGCCCGGCTTAAAGCTAGTCGTCGTCGTCCTCGTCGACCTCGACGTCGTCGTTTCGGGTCATGTGGCTTTCGGGTCATAGCTCGGGCCACCTGCGGCCGTTCGGGACGATCCAGGCAGCCCCCGGGAAAGACCTCGACGAGCCGCGCATCCGCTGGAACGCATGTCGAGGCCACAAGACTGCCCAAGACCAACGAAAATCCCCGAAGGCTGCCGGGAATGCCGAAGGTCAACCCCGTCAACCTCGACGCTGGCCTCGACGGCCTCGCCGCCGACGACGAGGGTGGCGGCAACGCGCGGCCGCGCTTCGTCGTCGTCGTCGTCGTCGACGACGACGACGACACAAGGCGGCGGCAGCGCGCGACCGTGGTTCGGCGGCGGGGCAGCCCGCAAAGGCCCGCGAGCCTGCGCTGCCCTGCGTCGTCGGGGGGTCCATCATCGCCTCGAGCTCTGCCTCGAGACTGCCCTGCGGCCGGCGGCGGCCCAGAGATCCAACGTTGAGGGCGCCTTTAGATTTATGCTGTTCCCATCGTACTTGACGACCACATCCCAGAAATAATTTCGAGCACCCGGGAAAGTGTCGAAGCAGTGTCGACACAGTAACGGACGAGTGTCTCCCAGGGCCCGAGACGTGAAAACCCTCGAGTGTCGGTACTTTTATAGTGCTCAACTTGTTTCTGGTGGTCAAGGCTAAAGTAGGATGAAACATCATGACTTTAGATTCGCACAAGAAATCCAAGAACTCCCGTTATTGGGCCGTGGTAACGTCACGATCCGCGCCGACGTCGTCTGGGAACGGCCAGGGGTGGCGAATTCCCAGTCGTCACCAGCGCGAGTCGTGAAGCGACCAGCCCCCTTCCCCCCCTTCCCGCCCAGTCACGAACGGCCGTCATCTGATAAGCATTGGCAGTACCCCTAATCATTTGGGAGGATTGCCTGAGCTAGGAGAGCCAAAAACATTAGAGATATGGGAGTCTCTTCTGCAGATGTCTCCGACAAACCCACACACATGTTTAGGGGCAGCGCCAAACCGAGGACCTAACTTTGGCCATGAGTTCATTGTGTTGTTAGGACTACGGGTTGCACGGTGCTGAGTTACCATCGCAGGAGGGAAACAACAACAGGCTCGCATTGAATAGAAACAAGTGTCGGAAGTTCGAGGTTCTCCTGGAAGTTCTTCTCGACCCAGAGCGCATTCAGGTAGACGCGCCTCGCCGAGGACGTTCTGTTCTTGCCTGAATCGTCCCAAGCGGCTACCGCAGGCCCGAGTCATGCGACAAACATCCTAGGATCCAACGTCCAGCGAACCCTGGGACCCTGGAGGAGGGATGAGGAGGAGAAGGAGAAGGAGAAGAAGGGAGGAGGAAGGAGGGAGGGAGCAGGGAGAAGGGAGGAGGGAGGAGGGGAGGGGGAGAGGCGGGAGGAGGGAGGAGGGAGTAGGGAGGAGGGAGGAGGGAGGAGGGAGGAGGGAGGAGGGAGGGAGGGAGGGGAGGGAGGGAGGGAGGAGGCGGGAGGGCGGGAGGGAGGGAGGGAGCGCAGAGAGGGAGAGGGGGAGGAGGAGGAGGAGGAGGAGGAGGAGGGAGGAGGAGGAGGAGGAGGAGGAGGATGAGGAGGAGGAGGAGGAGGAGGAGGAGGAGGAGGAGGAGAGGAGGGGGGAAGCAGGGTAGGAGAGAGGGAGCAGCTGGAGGAGGGCGGAGCTGTAGGGAAGGGGGATGGCAGGGGGAGGAGGGAGGAGGAGGAGGAGAAGGGAGGAAGGGAGGAGGGAGGAGGGGGGAGGGAGGAGGGGAGGAGAGGAGGGAGGAGGAGGAGGGGGGGCTGGGAGGAGGAGGGAGGAGGCGGAGGAGGAGAGGAGAGGAGGAGAAGGCAGGAGGAAGGAGGAGGAGGAGGAGGAAGGGAGGAGGAGGAGGAGGAGGAGGAGGAGGAGGAGGAGGAGAGGAGGGAGGGAGGAGGGCGGAGGAGGAGGGAGGATGAGGGAGGAGGGAGAGGGAGGAGGGAGGGAGGGAGGGAGGGAGGGGGGAGGAGGAGGAGGAGGCGGAGAAGGGAGGAGGAGACAGGAAATAGGACGGGCGCACGGCAAGCATAGTTAATGCTGTTGGGCCCACTTGGGCCCCCTCTTCCCCCTCCTACCTCCTCCTCCTCATCCTCCTACTACTCATCCTCCTCCTCCGTCCTCTTCCTCTCCTCATCCTCCTCCCCCCCTCTTTTCACTCCTCTCCACATCCCTCTTCATCCTACCTTCCACCCATCCTCCTCTCCTCCTCCTCCTCCTCCTCCTCCCCTCCTCCATCCCTCCTCCTCCTCCACATCCTCCTCCCCCCCCGCCTCCGCCTCCCTCCTCATACCTCTCCTCCTCCCTCCTTCCTCTCATCCTCCTCCTTCCCTCCTCCTCCTCCTCCTCCCTTTCCTCCTCGCCTCCCTCCTCCTCCTCATCCTCCCCATCCTTCTCCACTCGGAGGTGAGGTGACCGTTTGCTTTATTTCCTAGGCAATGGTCCTTACCCGGTGGGGGGGTCGACGGGCAGGGTAATGGTACTTAATGGCGGCCGCGGCGTGCACCCGCCAAGGTGCGTCCGCGCCACCGGCGCATCAATCGCCCGTGTGCACCACAGCATGCAGGGGGGGGACCAGGCCACCACCCGCCCCTCTACGATCGCTAAAGTTGCCCGGGGGTGGGTCCCGAGTAGCGAGCGTTACCCTGGGGAAGCAACAAAAGAAAACCGGGGGTCCTGGAGCGAAAAGTACCCCCGGCACCTCCCCGCAAGGTTGGGCCAGAGATGCCAAATCTCTTGGGCGCGGGCCTGGGAGCTTCTGGAACCCTTTAGGAGCGACCCGATGAGTCGACAAATAGGTGGCAGGCCCTACGGCCAGAAGCCAGCAGCGTCCCGAGGCGGCTCAAGATGGCCTCACGAAGGCCCTCGATGCCCCCAGCACGCCCCTCGAAGCTTCCAAGTGGCGCCCCGAGAAGCAGGTGGAAAAAAAGGAATACCCATCCAAAACAAAACGAAAAACAACACGATGCAACGAATGGGCGCGCGGAAAACAAAACAAAACAAAACGCGCGGCAAGTGTCGCTGAACGAAAAACAACGCAAACCAAAACGCCGGGCCTGCCCGACCGTCTGCCACCGGTTGACGCAATCGTTTGAAACCAACACAAAACGCGTTCAGAACGGAAAAAAAAAAAAAAAAAAAAAAAAAAAAAAAAAAAAAAAAAAAAAAAAAAAAAAAAAAAAAAAAAAAAAAAAAATGGAAAACAACGTTTTCGGCCAGCGCTGGTGTTGTTCTTAGGTTGTTGGAAGTTTTCAGCCTTCTCGCCTTCTCGGCTTTCCGACACTCCAAGAGGGCCCAGGAGGCCTCCAAGACCGCCCCCTATACAGCCGACGAGGCTCCCAAGATGGCCCCACGATGGCCCAAGACGGCTCCAAGATGGCCCAAAAGGCGGCCATACGGGCCCAAGAACGCCCAACAACGGCCCCAAAATGGGCTGGACTCACCCCAAAATCGCCCCAAACTGCCCAAGATTACCTCAACACGGCCCAAGAGGCCGCCAAGACGGCCCAAGAGGCATTCAAGAGGCCTCCCAAGAGGTCCCCACGATACCAAAATCATCAATTTCCCAATGGTTCTTGGAGGTTTTCAGCTTTCTCGCCTTTTCGGCTTCCCGACGCTCCAAGAGGCCTAAGAGGCCTCCAAGACTGCCCCAACACAGCCGACGAGGCTCCCAAATTGGCCCCGCGATGGCCCAAGAAGGCTCCAACGGCCAAACAGGCGGCCACACGGGCCCAAGAACGCCCCAAGACGGCCCCAAGAGGGGCCGGAGACGCTTCCAAATCGCCCCAAGCCGCCCAAGACGGCCTCAAGACGGCCAAGAGGTCGCCACGACGGCCCAAGAAGCCTCCCAAGAGGTCCCCACGAGAGCAACATCACTAATTTCCTTGAGCTTCTTTGAAGTTTTCAGCCTTCTCGCCCTTTCGGCTTTCCGACGCTCCAAGATGACCCCAGAGGCCCCCACGACCGCCCCAAGACGGCCCGAGAGGCCCCCAAGAGGGCCCCCAGACGGTCCAAGACGGCCCCAAAAACGGCCCCAGAGGCGCCCACGATCGCCGAAGAGGGCCCCAACAGGGGCCCAAGAGGGGAACACGAACCACCAATTCGAGCCTTCCGCCCCAAGAGGAACCCGGGAGGCCCCGAGAGGCCCCCAAGAGAGCCCAGGAACCCCCCTGGAGGCCCCACGAGGCCCCGAAGAGGCCCAAAACGAGGCCCCAAGAGGCCCCGAAGAGGCCCCACAAAAAGAGGCCCCGAGGGGCCACGAACGCGCAGGCCGACGCCTGCGATGGCACAATGCGGGCTGGCGGAGTGAGCGAAGCGATGAAATGACTGCAAGCCGCATGCGCGCCACCCCCCGAGGCCTCCCCAGCGCCCCTGCCCCGTGGTGGATCCTGCCGGGTGTCCGTGTGCGGGGTTGTGGGCCATCTGCCGCTCGCCTCCCCCGCCCTCCCCCCCTTGCACGTCGGTCGGAAGAAGTAAGGTAAAGACATGGCATGTCGACTCCTGAAGTAGGGAAGGCGCTTGAAGCAGATTGGGATCTGGGAATCCAAGAATACCCCCTTTCAACGACCGGCGTGTACGACTGCGCTGCCCCGATTTCGCCTGAGGACCTGGCCGCCGCAATTGGATGACGTTGCCCCGAAGGTGACGAGCGCTGCGAGAGCAGCGGCGTTCCGCTTTCTTCCGGAGGCAACTACTTGGAGGTCCTCGTCGGAAGGATTAGGGAGAATTGAGCCCCATTGGGGGGCTGCTGCGTCTGATCAGGCCGCGGATCAAGCGGGATTAAGCAGGATTGGTGAGCGGGAGTGAGCCAGATTACGCGGGAGTAAGCCAGATGAGGCCGGACTTTGGACCAGGGCAAGGTACGAGTTTGACCTCCCAGGAATTGCATCCGAACCTTCCCGTTGCCAGATGTCCCCACGCGACCGTGCACCAGGGCCTGAAGAGGCCCAGCTGCTGGGCAGCGGGCCACCGCACACGGGCCGCATGTTCAGCCCTGTGTCTTGTCAAACTCGCGGCCGCCTCTCGGCACGCTCCTGCCTGCGAAGTTCGGGGGCGACCAATGGGGGAGCGTCCAAGGGGGGGTGGCGCAGACCAGCGCCGGTGGCATGTGCGCGGCCAAGGGGGGGCCAGGGACGTCATGAAGTAAGAAGGGGCGCCATGATATCATGGCCCACGCCATGAGATCCCCCCCCCTAGTCATCCCCCCCCTCCTGGCCGCCCCCGACAAATCCGCCGATCCGACGTGTGAGTTTCTGAGAGAGAGCGTGGGCGGCTTGAGCTCGCTCAAGCTTCGCTCTGCGAGGGGGGGGACCTCATTAACTAACGAATTCAGTGCTCGGCACCTCCCCCCCCCTGCCAGCCCCCCCCCTCGATTTAGCTCCCCCCCCGGAGTTTTGCTCTGCAAGTGTGAGGGCAGCAGAGAGGGAGGGGGGGCACTCTGCAAGGGGGGGGGCTGCAAAGGGGAAGGGCCCTCTCAGGCGGGAGCGGGAGCTGCAGGGAAAGGCGGGAGGGTCCGCTATGCAGATGGGCGCTCTGCAGGGGGGGGGGGGACAGGAGAGAGGGGGGGACAGGAGAGAGGGGACGCTCTGCAAGAGGGGGGGGACAGGAGAGAGGGGGGGGGACAGGAGAGAGGGTGGGGGAGAGGGAGAGAGAAGGGGGGGGGTAACAGGAGAGGGGGGGGGGACAGGAGAGAGAGGGGGGGGGGACAGGAGAGAGCGGGGGGGAGAGGGAGAGAGGAGGGGGGGGGACAGGAGAGAGGGGGGGAGGCAAGCTAGGTGCACTCGCGTCATATCTGACATCCTACCCCTCCCTCCCATCCCTTACCATGGCGTAGATCCTCTCTCTACTCGCACAGTCGGATGTCGAGCGGAACAATGATCCCGAAAGGATACGCGATGCATTGTAGAGCACGGCATGGCATGGCGTAGAAGAGCACCGCAAAGCGTAGCATCAACCTAGCATTGCATTGCATGCCGTGGCATGGCACGGGAAATGACGCCAGCGCTGCAGCGGGAGCACGAGTCGGAACGAGCGAAAGCGCGGAAATGAGGCCAGCGCTGCAGCGGGAGCACGATTCGGAACGAGCGGAAGCACGGAAATGAGGCCAGCGCTGCAGCGGGAGCACGATTCGGAAAGAGCGGGGTCCGAAAATGAGGCCGGCGCCTCAGCGAAAGCAGCATTTTGGGGAAAAATGCAAGCGAAAACCCAACTCCGGGGAATCCTGTGTAAAAAACAGTACGCGGGGGGGGGGGGGCTAATACTTTCAAACCGTCATCAGGGGAAGAGGGAGAGTAGTGTTCATCATATTGAGTAATTGTACAGGAGAGAGGGGGAGAGGGGACTGGAGAGAGGAGGGGGGACAGGAGAGAGGGGGGGGGGGGCAAGGAGAGGGGGAGGGCAAGCTAGGTGCGCTCGCGGGGGGGGGGGGAGAGGAGAGAGGGGGGGGGGGACAGGAGAGAGGAGGGGGGGGGACAGGAGAGAGGGGGGGGGCGGGATCATCACCATCTCTATCACCATCACCATCACCATCGTCACATCAACATAATCATCATCATCCGGAGCGCCCCGGATCGGTGGCACTGGTCGGAGGCCACTACAATATCACATGTAAGAGACGATCACAAACGAAGTTCCGCGAGATGGCATAGCGACCTTACGCCGCGGCTCACGCGGGCCTCCACTGGAGACGAGGGCGCTCGCGCACGACCTAATGTCGGCGCGGGCAGCTTACGCGCCAATGTCAGCGCAGTCGACCCCCTTTGTATTTCCGTCGCTCTTGTTCTTGGCGCGCCGATGACGGCAACACCAATCCACTCTCCCTCTGGGATCTCGCCCCCTGCTCCAGTCCATGGCGTACCTTGTCCTGTGCAAGGTCTTCGGCACCGCCTGTTCTCTGAGCCCTCCGGCCGCCTGAGGCCCCGCCCGCCCGCGCCCTGTCTCCCCAATTAGGGTTACTCGCGCCCCGATTAGCTCTTGACCGGAAGGGACCCGCTCCCGACCCGCAAACCAAAAAGTGCTTCCGTCGCTCACATGTAATTGTTCGTGTTGCTCCAGGGGAACAATCCGCGAGGTATTCCGTGACACAGACAAGTTGCCAGATCACTTCAAGCATACGACGATTGGTGATTGCGGGAAAATTCAAGAACAGCCTCCAAGGGACGATATCTCCGACGCCACAGAAAACCTGCAACAGCGTACCAAATTCGACCGGAGACGGACCCCATTATTCTGCGACATTCCTCGAGCCGAAACTGCCTCGACAAGGCGCGGCAGCTGAAGGCGCGTTCCGGGGTGAGAGAAACGTCCAGGAGCCAGCGTAGGCCAGGAAAACCTCCAGAGGCCGTCGCTGCCGCCGCCATCGCCGCCGCCTTCGGGCGCTAATGAATCGAAGGGCGATGGAATGGAGGGGAAACCCCTTTTGGGACCCAGGGGGGCCCTTCAAGGCACAGAAGGTGCATCCTTCTTCAACCCCCCCCCCAATTTATGTCACCCTCATTACGGCCGGCCGTAGGACAGAAGAACTCCCTCATTTATCGCACCCCCGATTACGCCTTCGCCGGCGTCGCCGCCGCGCCAACGCCGCACGGTCCTACCGTACCGTCGGACCTAGGCCAGAGAGCACCCTTCAAGTACTCGAGACCCTCCGCCGGCCACACTGAAGAACCTTCGAGCGTACCCTCCCCCGGAACGCACAAGAACATCCAGCAAACACGAAGAGCATCAGGGTACCCTCCCCGAAACGATCTCGCACCCCCGACCGCCTGAGGCGATCTCGCACCCCCGAAACGATCTCGCACCCCCCGAAACGATCTCGCATCCCCGAAACGATCTCGCACCCCCCGAAACGATCTCGCATCCCCGAAACGATCTCGCACCCCCCGAAACGATCTCGCATCTCGAAACGATCTCGCTCCCCGAAACGATCTCGCACCCCCCGAGCCTCGGTCCCGCCGTGCTCGCACCCCCGCCCGCCTGAGGCGACGGCGCCTCCGGCTGGCCGCCCCGCGGGCCGTGAGGCCCTGGCGGCTGGGACTCCATCAGCGCCTCGAGCTCGGCCTCCAGGCCGCCCTGGGGGGCGCGGGGGCGGGGACGCCGAAGGGCCCGCTCTGGCGCCCTCCTTCGGCCGGGAGCCCGTTGCGAAAGGAAACATCCCCTGACGCATTCGGGCCAGAACTCGGCTCTCTGGCGGCCGTTCGGGGCAACCCTCGGCGAGGCGCAGCCGCTGGAAAGCATCCCTAGAAGGGCAACACATGTCATAAAAGCTGTTGGAGGAGTCCGCGCGGATTTCTTGGATCTGCGCTGGAACCCCTCCCTGGCGCGCGGAGCGCGCCAGGGGCGGCACCGTCAGGGGGATCCAGCACGGATCCGAGAAATTCGCGCGGAGCTTCGACAAAAATGTGTTTTATCGGGAGGCTCGAGAACCGGCTCGAATACCTCAGGGAAACGCAGAAATCGCTCGCACAACTCCAGCCTCGAGCCTCGAATATCTCATGGTTATGGCGCGCGATGAGCATCCCCAAGATTCCCGACCGCTGGGAAGCATCGCGAGACTGGAAAACTAGCGAGAACCGAACCTCCATCCCAGCGATCCGACGTCGTGATTTTTTCAATACGGGGTCCCCAGAAGTCTCGACCCACTCTCCAGGGCCGGCTTTTCATCCTGAGTCGTCATTTGACGGTCCCGAGGCCCGGCGAGGGCCCCTGGGGGCCGAAATTTGCGAAAAACGTCCGCCTTGATGTCTCGAATGCGTTGGATCGCTGCGACTCTCGAGCGATCCTCGACGGCGCTGGGAGCGGCCTGCGCGGTCTGGCTGGCCGGCGGGGGCGGCAGCGGCCCCGGCGCGGCCGGCTGGGACTCCATCAGAGCCTCGAGCTCGGCCTCCAGGCCGCCCTGGCGTGGCGGGCCGGAGAGCCCCTGGCCATCGCTCGGGCGTCCACTGTGAGCGCTCTCTGATTCGGCGTTTCGACAGTGGACAGAAGTGGGGGGGGGGAGGGAGGGGGATGTCTGGCTCCAGACCAATGCTTAGCGCGACTGTCTGCAGCAGTGCGTCCTCTGGGGGAGACCCCACCTGCCTGAAACAGCCGCCAAAAACAGCTAAGGTTAAGTCGGGCTTGTCCCCTGCCAAGGTTAAGTCGGGTTAGTCGGAAATACCCCAAAAATGATCAAAAAATAGTCCAAAAAAAATTATGGGGACTATGTTTTGAATATTGTTTGACCTTTTTGGGGTATTTTTGAAGGTATGTTTGTTATTTTTCGTCGAAAGTCCCCTTGTAGGGGGACACGCCCGACACAAAGCTAAGGTCCACCATTCTCCCGTGCATGTGTCGGTGTCGTGTGTGTGTGTGTGTTTTCGGGAGCGGCCAAGAGGGGGGTGTCCAAGAGGGGGGGGTGCAAATCATGACCAGCGGCATGTGCGCGGCCCAGCGGGGGGGCCAGGGACGTAATGAAATAAGAAGAGGCGCCATGAAATCTGGGGAGATATCATGGCCCCCGCCATGAGATCCACCCCCCCCTAGTCATCACCCCCCTCTTTTCCGCCCCCGATGTTTGTGCGTCGCAGGACGACCCGGCATGCTCCTGGCTGGCCCAGACTCTCTGGCGCTGGCCTCGCCGAGACGAGTGCACACGTCTCCGAGCGATGGCCAGGCCCAGAGCCGAGCCAAGAAGTCGGATCGGCGATCGACACAAATCGGACCTGCAGAACTCGGCAGTCTGTAGAGGTCGGGTCTGCGGAAATCAAACCAGAGCCCGACATCGGATCGGAACATATATCGAAATCGAATCGAACCGAGTCGGAGGAATCGACATGAGCCCTGGACGGGGGCGGGGGGGGACACGAATCTCCGACTATTCGAGGTCTTCTCAGAGTCCGATCTCTTCTCAGGCTTTCGCAAGGTTTCGGAGGTTTCTGGGAAGCAGCGTGGTTTCCATCAGCTGCGCCTCGTCGAGAACATTCCTGGGGTGCCGCAATCGTTCCGAACGACCGCCGGAAGCCCAAGTTTTTGGCCCGACAGCCACCCAGGATCAAGATCTCCTGCTGCATGATTTTGTCTACCGAAGTTTGATTTTGTCGATTCTGGCCCTCGGGGGCCGCTTGCAGGCCCCGGGCCAATCAAAAACTGATCTGGTCAGGGACGCACTGGCCCGGGTCAATGCAAACCCGGGTCAGTAAAGCTGCACAGCATCCTGCAAGATCCTGCAGGATCCTGCAAGATCCTGCGCGCATGCGCAAGCCCGGGTCAATGCACCCCTGGCTCTGCAGGATACTGCAGGATCCGGCGCTCTGGCAGACCCCCGCTTGCATTGACCCCCGTCACAAGGCTCCCGGAGAGCACAGTTCCAATGAATGAGGTCCGGGCGTCGCAACTGTTGCACACCGGGCGTTTTCGCCCGGTTTCGGGCGCCGGGACCCTCAGAGTTCGATGCGGCTCGCGAAATGCAGCAGAAAGATGGGGTCTAAGGCTCCAGTCTTGATGTTTTATGATGTTGCATGTGTCTTCCAACGTCAGGTCGATCAGGGACGACAGACTGCCCACTGGGAAGGGTCGGGACCTCTGGGGGTACGGATGGACAGGATCATGTCGGCGGATATCAGAGGGCCCCAAGGACGAGCAGAACGACAACACCGAGGCCATCGACGCCCTTCTCATGCCTCTTCCCAATGGCGTCGCCGCGCTACGTCTTGCTCATCCTGCTCCTCCGTGCTCTCCTCCTCCTTCGCCTTCCTCGCGTCAAGCTGTCGACCTCCTCTCATCGCCCTCACTCCCGCCTTTGCCCACCCACCCCCTCCCCCCGACGTTCAGCCCCTCGCTCGTCGGACTCATCCTCCGCTTCTTCACCTCCACCGTCCTCATCCGCATCCACCTCCTCTTCGCACGACGGGGGAGCCCGCTGCGGCGCCCCCCTGCACCGAGGGGGGGGGGGGAGGGAGGGAATGGAGGAGGAGGAGAGGGAGGGAGGGAGGGAGGGAGGGCGGGCGGAGGGGGCAAGGGGGAGGGGGAGGGGGAGAAAGAAGAGAAGGAGCAGGGCCCCATGGGGGGGTGCAGAGATCTCCGACGATTTGATGTGTTCAAACGGCGGTTTTTCCTCGGCCCTGAGATCCTGGCGGCGCAATCATTTCTCAACGGGCGTATTCGCTACACTTCGGGCCCGGGACCATCACGGATCGATCCAGCTCGAAAAATGGCACAGGAAGGTGGGGTCCAGGGCTCCAGTCATGAACGTTCGCGATGTTGCATTCTTTCGCGACGAAGGATCTCAAGGGATTCTGGCCCTCTGGGTCGGACCCGAAGCCCATCAAAAACGGATCCTGGACGAAGAACTATCTCCGGGAAAGCGGTCGGGACCTCTGGGGTTGCGGATGGACAAAGACCGAGACTTCCGCAGGATTCACTTGGTCAGGTGCGACGGCCGCCTCGGACTAGAGACGTAAGATTGGGACTCTGCAGGGGGTTCCTGACCTCCTCCTCCTGGCGCTGGCGCTTGTTACTTTTCGTAGAATCATTGTTTGTAACATTACTGCTATTCCTAAGATTATTAGAATTCGCAGTATTCTAATTACTAGTAATAACAATACTATGATTGATAAAGTTACCGTTTGTATTAATGCGATTAAAGCATTACAATGTGTCTCCGTCTGTGTATTATGATTATGGTTGCCAGTACTATTAGCACTGGTATTCTTATTACTATTAATAGTACTTGTAGTAGCAGTAGTAGTAGTAGTAGTCGTAGTAGTAGTAGTAGTAGTAGTAGTAGTAGTAGTAGTACTCTTATCCTTATAACTATTAACACTGCTCTTACTAGTATTAGTATTTCGATGTTTGCTCTCATTATTGCTCCTCCTCCTCCTCGTGCTCCTCCTCCTCCTTCTCCGTCCCACCCCATTTCCCTCCTCTTCCTCATCCATGAACTCGCGTTTGCGCCGCGAGGGGGAACTTTACGGAGGGACCCGCTCGGACCTGACCTCCCCCTCTTGGACGCCCGCGACCACCGGCGCCTCCGACGCCTGCGTCGCGGCGGCGGGCGGCGCGGGCGCGGCCGCGGCCGCGGCGAGCGGCGCCTGCCCCGGGAGCTGCTGGCGCGGAGGGCGGGGGCGGGACTTAGAAAAACAGGAAGAAGAGGAGGAGGGAGGAGGAGGACCAGCGCACGGTTTCAGAGCTTGGCACGTCCTCTGCACGGCACCGCACAGTGAGAGCAGCTATCTGCCGAAATCCGCGACCTTTGGGGGGGGTGAAACAACCATCAGATATCGAGGCCACCAGCAGGCGGCAGAGGTATAGCGAAGTTATACATCTGAATCACTGAGCTTCGCTGATTATTCGTTAATCAGCTGCTGCTGATTATTCCTTTGCCAGCTGTTGCAGTGGCACGGGGGGCAACCTGAAGACAATGGGGGACATGTTGGTGCCCTCGGGGCGTCTACCCCCCAGGGACCTGGCGAGTTGAGAGGGTCTGCCTTCGCTGGTTACAGACTTGACGCATTCAGTGGATAGATCTCGAACGCCAAACTCGGCATAGGACCCACACCTATGGCAAATCAACATGCTAGTTGGCTGGTCAAGGTGTTCGTACGAATACCAATCCGCAGACCCTGTCGGCGTGTGTGAGGGGCTTGTCCGTTCAAGTCGTCATCTCCGTCATTCGTTGGTCGTCGTCTCTGTCGTCCCCTTTCCCTGCCTCCCCCCTTCCCTGGGCTCGTCGAAGCTCCCCCCTTTCCCAGGGACCTCCTCAGCGCGCCAGCCAAAGCGAAGTTGAGCAACGTCGAAATTGAGTCGAAGGAAAGCTCCTTCCCTTCGATCCCTCCCCCGCCAGGGAGGGGGCGGGGTCCCCAGAGGGGAGTCCCGGGGGGGGTCCAGGGAGGGGGTCCCGGGGGGAGGTCCCGGGAGGGGGGTCCCAGGGGGTCAGATACGACGCCCCCGCGGGGAGTCCAGGAGCCCAAAAAAGCCCCAAGACGGGCCAAGAGTGCCCCAAGAGGCCCCACAGACCGTCCAAGAGAACCCCGAATCGCCGAACGATCTATCCAAGACGCCTTGATGGCCTCCAGACGGCCCAAGGAGGCCTGCAAAGCGCACCTAGAGGCCTCCATGAGCTTTCCCACGAGAGCCCCAAGAGGCAAAATTCATGGATTTCCCATTCGTGTTTGACAGATTTTGGCGTTCTTGCCTCTTCTGCTTCCCGACGCGCCAAAACGGCCCCAGAGGCCCCCAAGATCACCCAGAGACGGCCCAAGAGGCCCCCAGGAGGGTCCCTTAACGGCCGAAGAGGGCCCTAAGATGGCCCAAGACGCGTCCAAGACGCCCCAAGAGGCAACTAAGACGGCTCCAGGAGAGCGCCCAGACGGGGGACCCGAACGGACATTTCGAGCTCTCGGCCCCAAGAGGCCCCCAAAAGGCCCCGAAGGAGCCCAACGAGGCTCCAAAGGGGCCCCCAAACTGCCCCAAGACAGCCCAGGAGAGCCCCAAATTGCCCGGGAAGCGTCCAAGAGTGCCTCGAGACGGCGCAAGAGGAGCCCTGGACGGCCCAAGACGGCCTCAAGAGAGCCCCAGGCTGTCCCAAGAAAGCCTCTGGCCTCCTCCTCTTCCTCCTCCTCCTCCTCCTCCTCCTCCTCCTCCTCCTCTTTTTCCTCCTCCTTCCCCCCTCTGCTGCCCCTCCTCCTGCTCTCCTTTGCCTCCTTCTCCTCCTCTTGTTTCTCCTCCACATCCTGCTCCCCCCTCCTCCTCCCTCATCCACCTTCTCCACCCTTCCTCCACCCCCCACTCATCCTCCTCCCCCTGCCCACCCCCCCTCGTTTTCATCTTCGTCATTCTCAGGGTCGGCGGCACAGGCCGCACGGCCTTCGCAACCGTGGGCTGTGGGGTTCACCGCGACGCCCGATTGATGTTCGCAATGACCAAGACAAGGTTTGTCGTGCAGCGCAAAAAGCTGTTCAAAGGAACGGGCACGCACACGGCACAGCGCACACCACCAGTTGCCCGGTATTTCAACAAACGCGCGGGGCCTGCCAGGTCGAGGAGCAGGAGGAGGAGGAGGAGGCTTGTGAGAAAAAGACTCCGAGGAGGCAGCAGGACACCCCAAGCAGCAGTGGCTGCAGCAGCGCCCGAGGGAGGGGGCATGTTCTTCTCGGGGCTGGCAACAGGCCTGTTGATTTTTGGGGGCAATAGTGGGCCATTCGACCAACGCTTCCTCCACAACAGACCTAAAGTACGTCTTGACTAAACAGCGGCCATCTCCAAAACTTGAAACTTCGACAGCGCTCGGATGCGAGCCTCGACGCGCAGCTGCCTTAGCCAGACGGTCAGCGGCATCGTTGCGTTCAGCCTATTTTCTGGCCTCGCTGGCGTGTGGACTGATTCGACACACCGGCGCGTTTGATGTTTCACTAGTTGACGCTGAGCTGCCAGACGCCCTCACCAGCCTGAACCTGAAACCAGCTGGGCGATTCGTACGAGGGTAACCGGACTCACTATAAAGCTAAATCACTCAGCTATAATCACAATCAGAACTTGGCAAGGCACTGGAGAGGAGGGCAGTGGACGGCGCGGCAACCTGTTCAGCCGCCCTCGAAATCTGGGCATAATGATCCCCCACCCTGCCACTTAAATGCACTTGAAGCTGCCCACCGCGAAACCCACAGCGTTGAAACCAGAGTGTCCTCTGTACGTGTAACTGCAATATACGGCATCCTCTTTCAATAGACGCTTCCTCAGTCGCGAGACTGAGCCAAGCACGCCAAAATCCCCCATATTCAAAGCCTGAGACAGGGGCGGGCCTCCATAGAAATCGGGCACCAGCTGGAAGCCAGCAGGTAAAGGCTCTCCACTTGGGAGGGCGAGGTGTTCTCTAAGTCTAAGAAGCTCCGCTTGTGGGAAATGAATGTGTCTCAAGGGGCGGACAATACAGCACGCGACGCTCGAGAGAATCCACGCGGCGACCGCGTTCGCATTCAAGGAGGGCATCATATCCAGCTGAGCGCGCTCTCTTCATAATCAAGATGCTCTGGGTCAGGAACGCGAGAAGGGACCCCTGCTGTTGCCCCGACAAATCAGCTGAAGCTACCACTCGCCGAGCAGCACTGAGGTCCAGCGTCTCGGCCGAGGTGCCGAGCTTCGCCGCGGCCTTGAAAGCTCGCTGGCCGAATTAGGCGATCCCCGCGGGCTTCTGGGAAGCGCGGGGGAGCGCCCTGGCCGGGCAAATTCAAATCCCGAGGCGGCCACGTACGTCACAAGTCCTCCGAAAGCCCCCCCGATCCTTCGGAGGGAGAGAACGGCGGCCCCGAAGGGCCTCAAACCGACCCCCCAGCCTTTCACAGGACGCCAAAGCACAGAAACTCCCGGAGACGCAGCTGCTGGAGACCGGCCGCGGCAGCGCGGGGGTTGGCGGCAGCGTCCCAGACGGGGCGGCGCCACGTAGCGGCCGGGGCAAATGCGACTTTCCAAGATGGGCCCCAGAAGATCAGCATAGACAGGCCGCGGCCGCGAGATTCCAGGACCTAGCTCGCTCGAGCGCGGCGCCCTTGACGCCGGCGACCTCGACTCTGAACGCGGCGGCAGCGAAGAGGCCAGTCCGGCACACCCTCCGAGCATTGCCCCCCGCCCTTTCGAGCACGCGCGCCCTGGCGAATCTCTTCGTGACGCCGAGGGGGCGCCAGTTTACCCGCCCTTTTTCCTCTGGCGTCTCTGGGAACTACTCGCCGCGCGTTCAGTTCCGGGGTCGGGCGCGACATTTTTGCTCGGCGGGGCCCGCAAGGTCCCCGGCGGCGGTCCTGAGTTGGCCCTGGGGAGCCAGGCGCGAGGCGAGTGCTTGGGTCTTCTTGCTGGCTATATGTTGCTAAAACTCGCGCGCCATGGCGTCTTCAGCGATCTGGCGGCAGTGTTCAACAAGGAGACAACTAGGTTCAAGCTGCGAGAGTGGCACTGCAACAGCAAATCAAATCACCCGCGACCCTGGCGAGAGAGACACGGCAGTGCGCGGCCGCCCGCTCGCCTAGCGGAGCGAGTACGCACATGCGCACAAGAAAGGTAGCCCAGCAGCATCCTGCAGCGACACATATCCAAAGATGTCCAGAGTCGCGCAACGCCACTGCAGCGCGCCACCGCGCTGGGACAAGAAAGCACAGATGATACAACACGCGAAGCCAGATCCCACGGCACGCCTCACAAGAAATTGCATGCAAATCTGGATGCATCCCGCGGGACCTGAGCCGAATGCTGCTTGTCAGCGCTGGACGCATTGAACTCGCACTCTAGCGGCTGCCGTTGCACTAGCTCCACAATGGAATGACCAGCCTGATGAGCAAGGCGGGGCCCGCGACGGTGGAACTCCCATTCTCTGGCCGACGACCTCTGAAGTCTAGCCCAAACTCGATGCAGAGACAGCGACATCCCTGTGCAACGGAAAGCTAACCGGCTGGCAGGGTTATCACAACGCTCAAGCGCCATCATCAACGTCGAGAATCCCTCGGGCCCGTTCCATGCGGTAGATGAACGAGCACCGCTCGCCCGCTCGCATTAAAGAAATGCCGAGGGGGAACTCCGCCCCCGGCAGAGGCCGTCGAGCGAGGAAAACTGCGAGCAATGTTGTGAAGACGACCAAGTACATAAGACACAGCGGAACACGGCCACCAAGTTCGGGAACAACGCTGGGGAGGCACTGGGGGCATGCCAAATACTAACCAACCTGTCGGCCTCAGTTTGCAAGACGCGCTGGGGTCTGCAATTGTGTTCTGCGAGGTGTTGCGCTGAGAGTGGTTGCCACGTTTCCAATCGCCCAGTCAAACGGCGCGCCCATTCCACGCCTCCTGCCATAGATGACTGAGCCCTATCAATCCCCCCAGTCTTTCTCTTCAACGGGGTTTTCATAGAGCCTGCCCCTGGCGTAGCAGCACGACAACTTGCTCGAGCAACTCATCGAGCACCTGCATCGTGTGCTGCTGGTTCAAAGTACCAGCACAGACCTGTCGCTAGCCGGAACCCCAGCAGGGCGATCTTCGAGGCCGTCCATGCAACCCTGGAACTCCTGGCAGTCCCCATGCTGGATGACTCTCCCGGAATCCTGAACACGATTAACCAACCAACACAAAGGGCCCAGATATGCCATCCACGTGGACCTACTCGCAGCACTTTCGGCCTCCGCGGGGACCATGGGGGCCCCGGGGGGGGGGGGGCTGGCCAGGTTCAACGCGCGCGCTCGCCCCAGCGCTCACTGCACGCTCCGAGTCCTGGACAGCGCGGGGGGGACCCAGTCCAGGATGGCGTTCAGCTGCTGGTCGGACCTGGTCGGAGAGAGGCAGAGCATCTTCGATCAACTGCATGACATACTTACCCGCGGCAGCAGTCTGACGCCAACTCCCTTCTGGGAGCTGCGGGCCCACCGGCGCGCGCGCGGGCAGCTCCTAGGGCCCGAGGAGCGCGGGGCTCGAGGACCCTCGAAGATCCATCAGCACAGGCCCGCGGGGGGAGAGGGACAGGAGGAAAAGGCGCGCGCATGATCAAGCCAAGGTGAGAGTTTTTGGCTGGCAGTGGAATAACCCAACATTGGTGTTCGACGTCTTCGCCCTGCAAGCGGCCCGCTCCGGCGCGCGAGCGGCCGCGGTTGCTCCGGCGAGAAACTCCACCTTGCGGAATGCGAGCGGGCGCGAGGCTCAAACCGCCAGCAACGAGCTCTGGGAGGGCCCCACTAGCCTGCAACTGGCCGACCAGGCTGAGCAGAAGCAAGTTGGCCCCCGAGAGGCCACCGGAGGCCACAAAATAGGCGCTGCAAAAGGCAAACTCGGGGATCCTGGGAGCCTCAAGGGCCACAACGTGCAGACGAGAGGAGCCCGTTCCGCAAGGGAACTCCACGGGCTGGACTCCCAGACCCGAGCCGTTCCGAACCAAAACCGCCACTCCAGAAACCAGCTCACCAGAGGGGTCGACGGCGACAAGAGCGATGGCCATCCACCTCTGAGCGGAGCACTGCTGTATTTGACGCGCGATACCTTCTCCAGCAGCAAGTCCATACCCCTGTGCACGCACACTAGTGACATGGACTGAGCATGCTGGGACTGCAGACAATACGCGACTGCCGTCCAACAAAGACCATTGATCGTATCGACTGCGTAAATGCGCCCTTCGCGGCCGTGCCGCCTGCTTCGCCGCAGCGGCGGCGGCGGCCTTGGCCTTCTTGGCCTCTGGCTGCTCAGCACCGACGGCCCACCTTTGTCCATGGCATCAGGATCATCATGTTGTGGCGCTGGCCTGGACCCACAGTCTGCAGGATCAGCAGGAGCTGCAGGTGGAAGAGCTTCATCACGACGCTGGCCGACTGCTGGGATCAGGCCACCTTCAGCTGCAGCTTCTCCTGCAGGGGCCTGGGCAACCTGTGCGGCCTTGCTGTCTGCTGGGCTGCCACCTCATGCTGCCGCTGCATGGTGTCGCACAGACTGTCATATCCTGCACGTTCGCTCGTAACTCCAACGGTGCTTGCCTTCCTTGGGGCATGCGGGCCGACAGCACACCCTGCAAAGTCTCGAGCAGGTTGGCATCCTAGGACTTGTCTTGGACCACCGCCTGGGTCGCCAAGATTGCACCTCAGCGGTTGTGGTGAGCATGTCCTCCACCAGTTTGCTGTGGCGCTCGCCGCACTCGACGATATGGTCGGCCAGGACGGTGGCCTCCTTCTCGACACGTGTGAGCCTCTGGGGCTGCACTGCCAGCTGGTCTGACAACAACTGCGCCTGATGCTCGACAGCACCTCCTGGGCCTTGGCAGTCTTGAGCTTGCCAAGCACATCCTGGTGCTCCCCACCGTCCGGCTTCGATGTCTTCCAAAGTGTGGCCTGAACCTGCGCCAATACCACTGGGTCGTGCCGAGACCAGGGGGCCTGCTGGGCCCGCGAGACGACGTCCTCCAACGCCCAGGCTTAGACAGCGTGGCAAGTGCAGTTGGTTGACCATTGTCGTGTCCTGCACCACTGCCACCAGCTGCCGAGACGTGCTCGTTCTTGAATATGCTACCACATCGTATGCAGTGGCGAGCAGCAGACGCGCCACAGGCCCAACAACGGCAGCGGCGCATGGTGCAGACAAAGAACTTCGCCTGGCCACCCATCCTCTCTTGACCCGCTCACAGCGACGGAGCGCCCACAGAAGCGATGCCAGAGAGATGACTGGCGCGGACGTGCTCGTGGCCCCGCGCCTGGGGCAAGCCAGGCGGGGCAAGGGGGACTGCGAAACAGACCCCCCGCTGCGGGCCAAGACCTTGGGCCAGAACGGCTGGAGCCAAGAGGAGGAATAGGAGGAGGACGAGGAGGAAAAGGAGGAGGGGAAGCAGGAGGAGGAGGGGAGGAAGAGGAAGAGGAGGGAGGAGGTCGGGGCGCGGAGGAGGGAGGAGAGTCGCCCCCTGCGGTGGCAAAACTTGCGGCACCAGGACCTCGGAGTCCTCCTCCTGGGACTGGTGGCATAGCGGCCGAGACTCGACGTTGCCATGTCACCCCCACAGGAGCGGTCGCCCCTTGGGGGGATTGATCAGACAGGCAGATATGTAGAAGTAAACGGGCAGACAGGCACGGCGGAGGCTCCCATCAAGGGGCGAGGTGCCGCCGGCTCCCAGCGCCAGAGAAGGGGGGGGGCCCTCCTCCTCCCCCCTCCTCCCCCCTCCCTCTCCCCCCCCCCCGTCCCCCTCCCCCTCCTCCCCCCTCCCCCCCCCCCCCTCCTCCCTCCTCCTCCTCCTCCTCCTCCTCCTCCTCTCCCTCATCCTCCTCCTCCTCCTCATCCTCCCTCCTCCTCCTCTCCTCCTCCTCCTCCTCCTCCTCCTCCTCCTCCTCCTCCACCTCCTCCCTCCCCCCTCCCTCCCTCCTTCCCTCCCCTGCTCCCTGCTCCCTCCTCCCTCCCTCCCCCCTCTCCTCCTCCCCCCCCCCCCCCTCTCCTCCATCCCCCCCCTCCAGAGCGCTCCGCTGCCCGTGCCCGCCATCTCCTCGACCCCCCCACGGCGAGGCAGGCAGGCAACGCGACGCCCAGGCGCTGACCAGCCAGGGCCGAGGTCCTATCTGCGCACGGCCTCGACGAGGAGGCCATCGAGGGCGGCATCGCCCGCTGGCGATTGCGGCGGCGGACCCGCGACGAGAACGAAGACACGTTCCATTTCCATCACATTCACTTGGGCGCGAACTCATGGGGGTCACTGCATGGGGGCCGTAGCGGGGGCTGCGAAAAGGGGCCCCTCAGGGCCCGGAGAGGGCCTCTCGGCCGAAAGGGCAACCTGTCTCCCCCCCCCGCCCCCCCAAGCGCCCCCCCCCCCAATGAGTTTCACGCCCCCGCCCCCCCCCCCCAAAGCGCCCCCCCGCCCCCCCCAAGCGCCCCCCCAAGCGCCCCCCTGCCCCCCCCCCAAGCGCCCCCCCGCCCCCCCAAGCGCCCCCCCACACACGGCGCCTCCAGCCCCTGCGCCGGCGCGCACGGCGCCGCGGCGGCTGGCGGCGCGGCGGCGGGCGGCGCGGGCGCGGGCGCGGGCGCGGCCGCGTCGGGGGGCGCCTGCCCGAGGGGGCTGCCGCCAGGGAGGGGGACAGAGGGAGAGAGGGAGGAAGACAGGAGTGGGAGGAGGAGGAGGAGGACAGGGAGGAGGAGGACAGGGAGGAGGAGGAGGACAGGGAGGAGGAGGAGGAGGAGGAGGAGGACCAGCGCAAACACATGACCCATCCACGATGTTGCAATACACCCTCCCTCCAAGATCCCTCTTCGTAGGCCCCTACAAAGATGCGCTGCCACTGAGGGAAATACCCCGTTGGGAGACACCCGCTTGAACATTCTGAACCGTGCTCGAGCACCTTTCTTGGGACTTCAATGACACGAATCAACCTTCCTGTCGCGTCTTGGCGATACTGAATCGTGCAAGAACACCCTTCCTGGGAAATCAACACCGCGAATCAGCGTGCCTGTTGCGCTTTGGCAAGCCTACATCGTTCCCAAACACATGTTCATGGTACGCTAACCATGAGACTCCGCGAACTTCTTGCAAATGGTTCAAACGAATGAGCGCGGCGCTAGGGCGAGAGCCACATTTTGAAAACGGCCCGCCCTCATTCCGTGAAATCCTTGCAAATGTTTTAAGACGATTGTGCTCGGCACTACTGCGAAGGCCACATTTTGAAAACGGCCCGCCCTCAATCCGCGAAACTCTTGCACATGTTTAAAACGAATTTGCGCGGCGTTAAGGCGAGAGCCACATCGTGAAAACCACCTACCCTCAATCCGCAAAAACTTGCAAACTTGAAAGACGATTGTGCGCGGCGCTGAGGCAAGAGACCACATTCTCAAAACACCCGCCATCAGCCCGTGAAACTCTTACCTTTGAAAACGGCAAGCCCTCAATCCGTGAACCTCTTGCTCTTGACAACGAGTGCGCACGGCGCTGAGGCAAGAGCCACGTGTTGTCATCCACCAGCCCTCCATCAGCGAAAATCTTGCAATTCCTCCAAAGCTTCAGGATGATGAAAGGTGGTGAAGTCTCGGGCGACAATCCCGGCCCGCCCTACCGACTGGCCTCGGGGTGCGACAGGGAGGAGTTGTCTGTAAGGAAAAGGAATGGAGGCGGAAGAAGCGGAGGAGAAGGAAGGACAAGGAGGACAGGGAGGACAGGGAGGAGGAGGAGGAGGAGGAGAAGGAGGAGGAAGAGGAGAAGGGAGAGGAGGAGGAGGAAAACCAGGGAGGACAGGGAGGAGGAGGAGGAGGAGGAGGAGGAGGAGGAGGACGCACACGCACACGCCCACGCACGCGCATACGTACAACGCACATGCTGAAAAGCCTGCGCGTCCTGATGAGGTGGCCGATGGTGGCAGCAACTACGGGAAGGTGCAGGAAGACCGCGAGGTGCGCGAACGGGAAAGAAGTCAGCATCACGTGCGCTTGCGATGCGCACAATGCATTTCCAAGCGCTGATCTTTGCTTGTTGGAGGGAGGAATTATGTGTTATGTGCGAGTGTAGTTAAGACAGGTTCCGCCCTATTAGCGACTATTCGTGTTTGCCGATGTCCCTATTAGCGCCGAGTAGCGTGTATTAGCGCCTGATAACGCCCAGTAGCGCCTATTAGCGCCTGTGAGCGACCACTAATAAGCAATCGTCAACGCTAGTAGCTGGAGAAGACAACAACTCATGCTTAGGTATTTCAGACAGGTTCCACCCTATTAGCGACTATTAGTGTTTGCCGATGTCCCTATTAGCGCCGAGTAGCGTGTATTAGCGCCTATTAACGCCCAGTAGCGCCTATTAGCGCCTGTGAGCGACCACTAATAAGCAATCGTCAACGCTAGTAGCTGGAGAAGGCAACAACTCATGCTTAGAACCACTCTCACGCATAACACACCTAAGAAGAGGATGGTGGAAAAGGTGAAGGGAAAGGAGAAGCGACCCCCGAAACGACTTCCCCGCGACTGCACTAGAGCCGATCCGTAAAGAAGCACCAAAGTGACGAACGCACAAAACACCAGCACACTCGGCGGCGAGCGAGGGGGGCAATGAGGAGGAAGCCCTAGGCGGTGGGGCTTCTCAGAAGCCCTCCGGCCTTGTGAGAAGACTTCTGCGTCTTCGGGGAAGGCCTAGAACACTTCTCAGAAGGCCGGGAGACTTCCGAGCCTTCTGAGAAGGCCCGCCCCTTCTCGCTTCCCCCCCCGGGCTCGCCGCCGAATACTTACGGGGGGGCTGACCCACGCCTCGCACTGGAAGGCTGCGCTTCAGGTATGGGTGCGGGTGGTCGCGAAGCGGGCCCCCGCTCGAGCGGGGACACCCACCCTGCAACAGGCACCCGTGCACCTTCCAAAGTCCACCCGGGCAAACCTGGGGGCCGTACAGGCATGCGCGCTGACCGCGAAGGGTCGTTCATAAAGGCCCTTCAAAAGGAAAACTACTGATCTGTTGCGCCGCCTGATTGACGGATTGGGACCGAAAGCTTTCGGGGGGGAGAAGGGGAGAGCTTTTTGGGGGGGGGAATGCCCCAGCAGTCTAGCCCCTCCGCGGCCAGTGGTCAACTCGTGACACGACGCGCCACGGCACGAGACCGCGGGTGGAACAGAAAAAGGCGGCCGCGGAGTGACCTACATGCGGGGTGAAACAAAAACCCTACAGGGGCCCTTCAGGCCCGGTTTGGGCCCCCATTTGGCCCCAGAAGGAGCCCCAAAGGGCCCCTTCCGGGCCAGGGCCATTTCCTTCACCCCCCAATTCGGGTCACCCCCCATCACCACCCGCCCGAGTTCCCCTGAAGCCCCCAAACTATAACTTATATCTCTTCCTCTTGGTTGGGCGAGGGGAGAAGGAGAGAGGCCCGACCGCGCAGACAGTCTGCGGGAGGGAGCTCGCGCAGGCGACCAACGGGCGCCGGACAAAACAACGCTCGGAGAGACCAGAGGAACCAGAAGGTACCGGCACCGCTATGCCCAGGACCTCTCCCGGGGTGCGTTCTGACCAGGCTTGACGAACGAACAACACACACCCATACCCATAAGGGGGTCGTTGGGAGGAGGACTGGCTATGGGTATGGGTGCGGGTTGTCGGACCCTAGGGGACGCTCCCGTTCGAGCGGGGATCCCCATCCGACAACACGCACCCATAGCCCTTTCCGACCCCCCTATGGGTATGGGTGTGTGTTGTTTCATCAAGACTTGCGAGGCGGATCCAACCGTGGCGACGAGGGACTCCCGGGAGGCCCCAAAACGCCAGAGAAAGCTTGCACGAGCTAGCTGTCCTCCTCCGAACTTTACTTGGGGTCATAATTAACTCGGGCCTCCATCGGCCGTTCGGGACGATCCGGGCACCCCCAGCTGGAAAACCGCCTGGAGCTGACGTGAACAAACGAAAAACTCGAGCCTCGAACCTCGAAGCATACCTCTAAGTCGGGCCTGTCCCCCTTCAGGGGGATTTTCGACGAAAAATACAAGATACCCCAAAAATACTCCCCAAAAATTGTCCCAACATAGTCTGGGGACTATTTCTGGAATATGTTTTGACCTTTCTGGGGCATCCTGGGGGTATCTTGTATTTTTCGCCGAAAATCACGCTGTAGGGGGACAGCCCCGATTTAAAGGTACGCTTCGAGGTTCGAGGCTCGAGGTTTTCGTTTGTTCACGTCAGCTCCAGGCGGTTTTCCAGAATGCCCCAAAAAGGTAAAGAAATATTCAAGAAATAGTCCCCAGACTATTTTGGAACTATGTTTGGAGTATTTTTGGGGTATCTTTTATTTTTCGTCGAAAATCCCCCTGCAGGGGGACACGCCCGACTCAAGCGTACCTCTTCCTCCTCTCAGCGACGTTCGGGTGCCTCGCGCTCGCCGCCCGCGGGCGGCCCCGCCGGCGGCCCGGCCGGCTGCGACTCGAGCAGCGCCTCGAGCTCCGCCTGGAGGCTGTCCTCGGGGGGGTTGGGCGCGGGGCGGGGCGGCGGGGACTGGGAGGAGGAGGAGGAGGAGAGGAGGAGGAGGAGGAGGAGGAGGAGGAGGAGGAGGAGGAGGAGGAGGAGGAGGAGGAGGAGGAGGAGGAGGAAGGAGGGGAGGAGGAGGAGGAGGAGGAGGGAGGAGGAGGAGGAGGAGGAGGGAGGAGGAGAGAGGAGGGAGGAGGAGGAGGAGAGGAGGAGGAGGAGGAGGAGGAGGAGGAGGAGGTGGAGGAGGAGGAGGAGGACGAGGGAGGAGGAGGAGGAGGAGGAGGAGGAGGAGGAGGAGGAGGAGGAGGAGGAGAGGAGGAGGAGGAGGAGGAGGAGGAGGGGAGGAGGAGGAGGAGGGGGAGGGGGGGGAGGAGGGAAGGAGGGAGGGCGGGAGGAGGGAGGGGGGGAGGAGGAGAGAGAGAGAGGGAGGAGGCAGGACGGAGGAGGGAGGAAGAGGGAAAAGGCAGGAGGGAGGAGGAGGCGGAGGAGGAGAAGGAGGAGGAGGAGGAGAAGGGAGGAGCAGGAGGAGGAGGAGGAGGGAGGCGGGAGGAGGAGGAGGAGGAGGGAGGAGGAGGAGGAGGAGGAGGAGGAGGAGGAGGCCGGGCAGGCCGCGCAGACCGCCTCGCCTCCCTCCCGCGAGCTGCTCGGGGGAGCTCCTCGCGGGCTCCCGGCGGCCCGCTCGCCTCGGGGGTGCCCTCCAGCAGCTGCGCCTCGCCGAAGGCGCGCGAGGGGGCCCACGGGCGGCGAGTACCTTCTGTTCGTTAGGGGGCCACATGCGAACCCTACCCCCACCCTCCCCCTCAGAAGCCGTGGGGGGTAGGGGTAGGGTTCGCATGTGGCCCCCTGTCGTCTCGGCGCGGCAGAAGAAGTCCGCACGCGCACTCGAGCGGCCGTCTGCGCCCGGCAAACGCACCAGCCGACTGCAGGACGGCGGGGGGGGGCGCGGGGGAGCGGAGGAGCGGCCGCGGAGGGTCAGGAGGGGGAGGGCACGCACGCCTGGGAGAGCTGCAGGCGGAGTCCGAGCGCGGCGGGGCACGAGCGGCGAACTCACCCGTGTGCGCGCCCCTGCGGTCTGGGCACCCCGGGCGCGGAGCCCGCGGGTGCGCGGTCGCACGGCTGCGCCCCGCGC